AAATATATCTCGAGGGATTATTTTAAATAAACCATAAAATCAATAGAAATAACTTTATTTAAAAGTTTTAAAAATAGTACTATGCGTAACTTTTAAAAGTTTATCACCAAAAGTTTATGGATAAAAGTTTTCACATTAAATCGAATGCCATTGTTTAATTTATCACCGCGTTTTGCGCCAACAAAAACGACAGTTGTTTAAACAAATAAGCCTCAATTACCATTTGATGTTTGCTAAGCCTCGATACTACCGTACATAAATTTTAAAAACAACAAGATAACATTCTTTCGGGCAGTTCAGCCGTGTCGAAACGAACAATGCGTACACTACTTTCGTCCGTATCCAGCTGAACTACGTTTAGTTTTACGCATAAGTTGCTTTTCAACATTTGTGTTTGTATTTGATTTATAAAATTTATTTTCTACACACTTTTTTTCTATTCAATCGATTTTAAAACCCCTCGAGTAATTTTTCAAAAATATCGTGACAATAGACGTACCAGACAAATTAAAATTTATCAATAAATGCTCCAAACTATTTTAAAAAATTTATTGAATGTCAATAATTTATGAAAGTGACAATTTTGTTTTTGTTTTTTAATAGATATTAAATGAGAAAAATTATGAAAAAGTTGAAATTTATCGTAAAAATAAATATTAATATTTTTTTCCTACAATTGTGTTTAATTAACACTTCAAAATTTTCAACATTTAACCCAATTTTTTTTTTGTACAATAACAAAAAAATTTTTAGTGCAATGTTGATTTTTCCAATTTTTTCAAAAATGAATTTAATATTTGTAAAAAAAAATTTGAATTATTAAAAAAAAAATAAACTCATATAAAAATCTATTATTTAAATTTATTCCTTAATTAATCGAAGTTTTAACAAAAATATTCGTTAAAAAAGCACACATAGAAACTTTTAAATAAAATCTACGGACATAAAAATTTCAGATATTTTCCTTTTATTTTTTTAATTAAAAAAAAAAAATATCAAATTCCTTTCAACTTTAGTATGTGTCCTGAAAAATTCTCGGATATCGTATACTTTCACAGTTTCCGTCTTTTCACTATCCTGACATCCGATAGTTAAACATAAAAATTTCTTGAACAATTTTTCTCCTCTTAATCGGATAAATTACTCAAAAAAAAAAAAAAAAAAAAATGAAAATTTCTAAGCGCTCCGTTGATGAGTGGGTAAAATATCACAAAATCCCTAAGCATCTACTCACCGTAGCACAAGAGCAAGATTATTATGTTTATCCAGGCGGGTTGCATGATGCTAGACAGCTGTCTTGTATCCATATTGACGTAAATGACCGCGGTAATATCTCATCCACGTCGGAATAAGTAATCCACTTGGCACAGGTGGCAAAAATGTTATCAGCTCACGAGGGTAACTAGCACGCGCGAGCACGCTAAAATCCAACCAAAAGTTCCGCACATAAACTCCCTTTATTGCATTAGAAAATCAAAAATCACAAAATCACTTAAAAAAATACTCCAAAAAAGGGAACTATTTCACCGCACGATATCGTACCTCATTATTTTTTGTCTGCCCAATCACTTCCTCTATCACTTACGGCTATCATACACCACTCGCTAAAAATCTCATCAATATCGATACTAAATCTAGTATTGAATATCAATCACACTCTTTTCCCAAAAATCATAAATCATAGCACAATATTGTTATCCATGGATCAAAATATTGGCACTGTTAGTGTCACACCACACACTGCACATTCATTTATTAATATAAAAAAATAAATAAATAAAAGTATCCAGTATCCAGTGGAATGTTAAAAAATAAATTACCAACCACTTTCACTCCAATTGCACTAAAAATATTAATAATAATAATAATTAATATTGCATTTAATAATATAAAATGCAAATTAAAATTATTTATTTAAGATCTTCAGTTGCGTGGACTGGCACAATAAAACAAACTAAATAAATAATAACAATAAAATAGTTTGGCAGTTGGCGCGAAAGGTCTGAGTTAAATATCTGTACTGAGCAAATGTACATGCGAGAATGTTATACATGCGCGCCATTCAACGGTCGCACGGCAACTGAGCGTTAGGACGCGTAAGCAGCAGTGCAACCCCCACCGCACTACTTCCCTATTTTTTACTCCACTCTCTCTCATTCTCAGCGCAATGTGCGCTAAGCTATATGGCCACACATATATATCTATATCTATATCTATGTGAAGTACAGTGTTCAGTAGTATAGAGAGGGATGCGTGCCTCCAGTTCAGCAGTATAGTATCTTGGAGGGGATTAAGAGACGTTTCCTCAACTGGTTTCGTACTACTACCATCAAAGAGGAAGTCCAGGAGTGGGGAGCTGCTTAGAATGGGAAAGAGAGAGACGGATGGATGTATAGGAAGTAAACATAAAGATATGGCTACGACACCATACCAATGATCGACGGAGAAGCAGGATGTATAGTTTCGGCATGAGTAGTAGTAGTAATAATAATAGTAGAAGTAGTATAAGATGGTATTTGTACGGCACCTTCGAATTTGGACTAGGTATTATATATAATACCGGTTTGCTCACTAAAACTGTCTATAGTATGGTTAATAGTATGTTGAAGTAAAATGAAATGTGGAAGGTGAGCCAGGCCCGGAACATCAAAATCCGAAGGGGGAAATAAAACTAAACAGCCGTTTTTGTGCCCTAAAGTTTCGTTGGAGCCCTTAGGCAGGTGGTTTTCTTCTTCCAGGGCTGTTGACGCCCCGGGGATCGGATCGAAAGGACTATTTTGTATTTGGAGTCCCCTGCGTGCGTTTTCCCTCGAACTATTGCTAGTTATATTATACCATTCGCCCGTATATATATATACCTGGCTATAATTTAACTTGACTGTTTTTCAGTATTTTGGTGGCTGTTTAAATATAAATTTTTAGAGAGATCTACAATCTTCCGTATGTCTATCTACAATTTTACACGGGCTGGTTTGTTTTTTCGGATGAGGTCCTCAGGCTGTTTTTTAAGTCGAAAAGGCACTCACGTACGGAGATCCTTATCCGGACCTCTGGCATGGTGGCTCATGCCGATGAGATACTGCCAGGTACATATTTTATAGCGGGTACTCCTTGGAAGGGAAAAACCTTGGTTTTCAGAAATTATGGCTTTACAAGTAAGAATGGAAGTGAAACTCGAGAAGAACGGGGCTGTGGGTTTTGATAAACAGACTGAGGCTGGATTTTTTTATAACTGTGAGGGCTCAATTTAAAATTTTTAGATAAATTTAGTTTGTTTATCTTTTAACAAAAGATTTTTATTAATTTTTGGGGTGTTTTCTTAGGAGATTTTTTTTTTTTTAATCTAACTATTGCACTTTATCTCATGGCAAAAGTTGCTGAAAATTTTATTATATTTGTTTATGTTTCTGGAGGTCAAGTAGGTTCAAAAGATATTATTTTATTGAAAAGTTTTATGTATGTACGTATATAACGCGGGTTGTTATCATTATTGTACAGTAAGCTGTTTTTTATTAATTTTACATTTTAACAAAAGTTACATTTTTATACTTTTCATTTTTATCTCTTTCATCATAGTTAACTATAGTTGAAATTTGACTGTACAAAAATTCAAAAATTGAACTTTGAGAAATTGTCTTTCATTTCGAATTTTTTTAAAAGACTTTTTGGTTTAGAAACAAAATTTTTGAAAGATAAAAGACATTTTTTTGAACTAAGTGTATCAAGTGGTCTCGACAAATGATAATCCTAGCGTAATTATAATCGGTATGTATGTTCACGTGATTTTATTTAAATTTTCGTTAATTAAACGTCTGTAGAGAGAATGAAGCCTATAGATGAAACTAGAAGTATCGAGGATCAATCGCGGAGTATAAAATGAATGCTTTTGACGGTATAATGAGACCCGAAGCATCATATCAACAGTGGTGGGAATACGCGGTGGTGTTTATTTGCGCGGAGTACGCGCGTATTATATACACGTAGGTTAGATCAGCAGGTGCATCGGAGCAAGCCGATGGAGAAATTAGTCTACTCCCCTCGAATCTCTGATGCTTTGATGCTCATATACTATCATCAGAAGCCTGCGAGCTACCCAACTAATTAACGGTCTATGCGTGGCTGCATTCGATCCCAAAGCGAGATGATGCTTTATGAAATGAGATTCACTTTTTTAATTTAAATCTACGTGTTTTATTAATTTATTTTCATTCTTTTATATTTATTAATGTTACAATATTTTTATTATTACACTGTTAAAATTCCGGAGTTTCGCTCGAAGTACGGAGTTTTTAGATTAAAATTAATTTTTACTAGCTGAAACAAATCTTGTTGATAAATTTTAATGTAAAATGTATAAAATAATAAATTTTCAACATTACAAAATTCAATTAAATAAAATTAATTACTTCAATATAACTGAAATTTACTTTTATAGGGCTATTTTTAGGATTTCTTTATAAATAAATTATTGTAGAGAGAATTTATCAAAAAATGCTACTTGTAGAAGTAAAAAAAAAAATATTAATGCAATTTTTTTGTGATAGATAAAAAAAATTTACTTGGCGGAATTTTTTCAATTAATAATATAAATATTATCCTTTTTAGAGTGAATTTTACTTTGAAGGGATTAAATCAATTAAAAATCATACACTCTTCCAATTTGTCACAGTAAACTATTATTTTTTTTATTGTCAAATTAAAAAGATATTTTTGAAAATTTTAAAGCGATTTCTGTTTTTTTATGTATAAGATCAACACAATTATACTTGCGTCTCGTTCTCGATGATAATATAATTGATTACTTGTAGTACTGTCAAGTACGAGTCAACTACACAACTTTTAGCGTTTAAATTCAAAAACTTTTCCCGCCCGCTAGCTCCGCTACGCGGCGCTCTACCATCATGGCGTCATATTGTTTTGTTGTGTCAACGACAACGGATGCGTAAAATAAAAATCACTGTTATTTATTTCTCTTTAAATAAATTAAATAACTTTTGATCATGGGAAAATCAAGGAAGAGATCTCGTTCACCTAGAAGATCTCACTCGACTTCAAGGGACCGCAGTAGATCACCAAAAATCTCAAAGCGAGACTTACAACAACAAATAACCGCAATGGCAAAGTCTATTGCTGAACTCATCGAGGTCCAAAAGGCCGCCAATAAGGCACCTAATGTAGAAATTCAAGCACTAAAAGGTAAAAATAATTTAATTAAACATAATTAAATTCCAATAAACCCAAAATGTATGAACCTTCCATACGAAGGTCGTACGAGGTAGCTCCACACGAGCCTAACCTAGTTCCATACGAACAGTAGTTATATATCTATATACATTTATATAGCTATATATACCTTTTGATAGGCTTATTCCACACGAATAATACCTATGATACAAGGCATTATGTTTCATCATGAGACTGATGACAAATCTTTTATTTACAGACCCCGTCGATAGTGCCAATGAAAGTTCTGAAAAATCAGTAGCAAATGAGTCTAGTGACAAAGTTTCAGAGATGAAAAAACCTAACGATGGTGATATAGAAGATGGTGAAGTTATAATTGAAGACGACTACCCGGAACTAGATGATGAACTTCTGGATGTACTAGGCGAAGAGGTCACAGACTCAGGCTGTCAGGTAAAAGTTAACGAGAAACTCAAGAAATGGTGGAAGGGCTGGATGGAAAAAGGTTTTTCGGAAGAAGTTAGAAAAGAACTTCTCAAGAAATATCCCAGAGATGGTGAATTCGTTACTGAGGCACCAAAAGTCAATCTCGAGGTACAACGTCACCTTACTGAGATTGCTAAAAAACGAGATGAACACTTCAAGCAGACACAGAGCTGCGTAGGATCAGCACTGTCATCCCTGAGTACAGCAGTCTCCATGCTGACAGAAGTCTCAACAGAACCAGTCAATCAGACACTTCTGTTACAACATCTCTGGGATACGGGAAAAATCCTATCAGACATTTTTCACCAGCAGTCGGAGGCTAGAAAATCTTTTATTACACCAACATTAGACAAGGACCTTAAGCCCACTCTTGATGCTAGTGTATCAGACGAGTGGCTGTATGGTCAAAAGTTAACCGAACAGGTTAAAGAGGCCAAAGCTATAGTTAAAGCTGCCTCTACATTAAAGGCTACTGATAAACCAATAGCTAAAAAACCAGCTAGTAAAGTTTTTGCTCAGGGAAACGGGAGAGGCCCACCTGCGAGATCCAGGCAGGTGGGCTCCCACTTCTCGAGGAAATTCACGAACGTGAATTATCGACACCGAGTTCCGGCAACATCATCGAGACCAGCGCAGAGAACCAATACGGACAGGGGTCAAACGTCGAGGAAGAAGTAGATACCAGGGGTAACGAGGATTCTAGTAAGGTAAATAAAATAGCTGGTCGACTGAAATACTTTGCTAGACAGTGGAAAGAGGTAACTGAGGATAAGTTTATTCTGAACTGCATTGAAGGCTGTAATATTTCTTTTGAAAATGTCCCTTTTCAAGCTTCCGAGCCTCTGGAACCTACATGGTCTCCAGAAGAACAGGCTAGGGTTGAAGTCGCAATACAAAAGTTAGTTTCAAAGCAAGCTATAGAAGCTTGCACGGAAGATGAAGGTCAATTTGTTTCAACTTACTTTTTAGTCCCTAAGCCGGATGGGTCAGATAGGTTCATAATTAATCTCAAAAGACTTAATGAGTTTATTCAAACGTCACATTTTAAAATGGAGGACCTAAGATCAGCAAGAAATTTGCTGGATAAAAATGTTTTTATGGCAAGTATTGATGTAGAAGACGCCTATCTCTTAGTACCAGTAGACAAAGCTAGTAAAAAATTTCTTAGGTTTAGATTTAAGGGCCAACTGTACCAATTTACCTGCCTACCTTTCGGCTTATCAACTAGTCCATATATTTTTACCAAAATTATGAAGCCAGTAGTTTATAAGCTCAGATCTCGGGGGTTCATATCAGTGATTTACTTGGATGATATCTTGTGTATAGGGAATTCTTTCGAGTCATGTCAAACGAATGTAGAATACACCATCGAATTTCTAGAATCCTTAGGATTTATAATAAATTATTCTAAGAGCCAAATTACTCCTTGCAGGAGCTGTAAGTACCTTGGATTTGTTTTAGACTCGCAAAAATATCGAGTTGAACCAACATCCAAAAAGAGATCTCAGATAATCTCGCTCCTAAGAGACATAGAACCCCATAGAAACTATAAAATTAGGACAATTGCTCATGTAATAGGAATTTTAGTGGCTTGTTGCCCAGGAGTAGAATATGGTAAAGTATTTTGCAAAAGACTTGAGAGAGCAAAATGGTTGGCATTGTTAGTAAATAATAATGACTTTGAGGGATCCATGAAACTAAACGAGACTGTATTCGAAGATGTACTCTGGTGGAAAAGAAATATCTCGAAAACAAGTAGTAGGATAAAAACCCAAAATTACAGCCTAGTCATCAGTTCTGATGCTTCTAGAACTGGTTGGGGTGCAGAATCACAGGGAAATGTGACACACGGTTTCTGGAGCCCGGAAGATCAAAAATTGCATATTAATCATTTAGAGCTTCTAGCAGCCTTTTTGCACTTAAATGTTTTGCCTCAGAGGCTCGCGACTGTGAAATACTACTCCGTATTGATAATACAACGGCAATAGCGTATATTAATAAAGCGGGAGGAATTAAATACCCAAGGCTTAGCGAGCTAGCAAGGAGTATCTGGCAATGGTGCGAGAGTAGGAATATTTGGGTGGTAGCTTCTTACATTCCGTCAAAGCTAAATGTCGAAGCTGATAGAGCCTCCAGACAAGTAAATCTGGACACTGAATGGGAATTGTCACAAACTGTTTTTCAAAAGGTCTTAGGTTGTTATGGCCCTTTCTCAATCGATCTTTTTGCTTCTCGCGTTAACAAAAAATGCTCAAGGTTCTGTTCGCGCTACCCGGACCCGGACGCAGAGTTAGTAGATGCATTTACCTTCTCATGGAGGAGTGAAGAGTTCTATGCATTTCCACCTTTTGCCCTTATATTACCAGCTTTAAGAAAAATAATTAATGATAAAGCTTCCGGAGTTCTAGTAGTACCACATTGGCCTGCACAGCCGTGGTATCCGCTGTTTACCTCTATCCTATGTCAGCCACCTCTAAATTTTGAACCAAAAATTAATCTATTACAATCTCCTTTCAGGCAACAGAATCATCCACTTGCTCTCAAATTATCTCTAATGGTCGGCAAATTATCAGGCAAGCTTTCATCAGAAAAGGAATTTCAAACGAAGCAGCGGAAATAATGTTAGACTCCATAACAGAGTCTACAGTCAAGCAATATGAGGGCTGCCTGAAAAAGTGGTTGTTTTTTGCAGATCAAGAAAGAATAGATGCCTTTAATCCTCAAAACACTGATGTCATAAAATTCTTGGCGGATAGATTTAGTAAAGGAGCAAAATATGGGACCATAAACTCAACAAGAGCAGCGATATCTCTGATTTCACAGAACAATCTCTCAAAGGACGCTATGATTTCACGATTCGTCAGGGGTACCTTTAAAAAAAGGCCAACAAGACCAAAATATGCGGAGACTTGGAATACAGAACAGGTGCTCGCCTATATTGAAACTATTGAAGATATTAATAAGTTGCGGCTGAAAGAGTTGTCAGAAATACTAACCACTCTTCTTATACTGATTACTGCACATAGGATGCAAACACTGGCTCTCATTAATATTAAAGATATTACAAGATCATCCACAGGTTTAAGCATTAAAATACCAGATCTTATAAAAACTTCAAGACCTGGAAAGGAGCAACCAATCTTGACGGTACCTTTCTTTAAAAAAAGAGAAAAACTCTGTGTAGCATCAATCATGCTAAAATACCTGGAGAGAACTGAAAACCTGAGGTCTAACTCAGACAAACTTTTTATCTCAACAATAAAACCCCATAAACCAGCAAGTGCACAAACTATCAGTCATTGGATCAAGTCGCTACTTGAGAAAGCAGGAATAGATATTAACACCTTCACTGCTTATAGTGTAAAGCACGCGGCAGTTTCTAAAGCTTGTAAACAAGCTTTGGATGTGGACACGATCAGAAGAACCGCCGGTTGGTCTGCTGGATCAACGGTCTTCGCCCGTTTCTATAATCGTCCAATACAGGCTGCAAGTGATTCTTTTGCTAATACAATCATAAATAAAAATACATAAATTTTTCTGTATAAAAAAAAAAAAAAAAAAAAAAA